CTATTCGACTTCCATCGGTTCACGCTGGATACGGGACGGATTTAGATAAGTCTTACCTGTATTCTTTGAACTTTTTGGTTTCCCATTTTCGTTGGTCCGGCTCAACGAGCAACTATTCCCGTTTTCTACAACATCTAGGTCGTACGTGTGTTCCGGGTGATTGATATTTCTATTTACAGCGTCCGGAATGTTTCTTAGCGATCCGTTTTGTGTTGTACTTTGTTGATTATTGTTTCTCACACTGTTCCTTCCTTCGCGGTTGATGTTCGTCTGTCTGAACGACTGTCTGCGCGAGTTGACGATGCGGGCGGAGCGCTGCGGCACGGGCGTGGGCGGCTTGCCCACCACGGGGCGGGCGCGGGCGGGGGCGCCGAGCTCGCTGCCGAGGCCCTTGGCGCTCAGCTGCGAGACGTTGGCGGTGCTCCTGCGGGACGGCGACAGGTTCTGCTCCGAGAAGGACCTGCTGCGGGGAGCCTCGAGCGCCGAGGCGTCGCCCGCGTCGGCCGCTCTCGGGCCGAACCTCTGCGAGGCGTCGGGATCCCGCGGGTTGGGGACGCCGTAGGACCTGCTGGAGGAGGTGGCGGCGTCCCCCCGGTGCAGCAGCTCGCCCAGCGTCGGGCCGCGCACCAGCTTCGGCGTGGCGCTCATGAGGTTGTTGGCGGCGGCGAGGTTGCTCTGCTTCTCGAAGGCGCCGTTGTGGATCCTGATGCTGGAGCCGAAGTACAGGCGCCCCTGGCTGTTGACGCGCGCCTTCAGCGGGCTCGCGTCCGGCGCCCGCTCGTCGCGCGGCTCGTTGTAGCCCTCGTGCTCGTTGTCGTTGTCGTCGTCGTCGTCGCCGTCGTGAAGAACGGGGCGCGGCGAGAAGGTGGGCCGCGGCAGGTGCAGCGCGTCGCGCGGCTCCCGGTACGAGTCCCTGTGGCTCCCGCGCTGCGCCTGGTGGACCCTCACCAGGGTCTGCGCTGGCTTGCCGCCGCCGCCGCCGTGCATCTGCTGCACCTGCTGCCGGTGCTCGTGGGCGTGGTGCTGCTGCCGGTGGTGGTGCTGCGGGCGCTGCGGCACGGGCGGCGGCTGCTGGCGCATGGAGGAGCGGGTCGAGCTGGCGCCCGGGACGCTCCTGTTGAGCAGGAAGCCCGAGCCGGCGAGGGCGTCCGCCGCGGCCTCCCTCCGCGCCAGCTCCGCCCAGCCCGCCTGCGGCGCCTCCTTCGCGGCGCCCTTGTCGGCGTTCTCGAAGGACTTGGCGATGTGGGACACGGCGCCGGACCGCTTGGCCAGCCCCGTCAGGGTCTTGGGGTCCCTCCGGCCGTGCCCTCCGGAGTGGGACATCATGCTACGCCTCGGTGCGCGCGCGCGCTCTCTCGCGTCACTCGGTCACTCACGTCAGTTCAAGCGCGGGCGGCGGCGCGGGCGGACGTCGCTCGCTTGTCCTCGCCCATCACGGCTCGGGGGTGCTCACATTCTCGTACAAATCGAATTAACTGAATAATCAATGTCACGCCCTTAATATCTAAATCCTGGAATGGTAAACAACAAATTCACACACAGAGAAGATGCCAAAGGCCGTAGTATACGTAACGGCAACCGAAAGTGTGGACGTAAGTGACGACAACAAATATTTTACAGTTCGACTCCTATTACAGTCGTCAATGGCGGTCGGACCCCTCCCCCCCCCCCTCTAAAAAATGTCTGAACAAAGACGCGGGGATGGAACGCGCTCTCGAGTCTGTTTTTTTTTTTTTTTTTTTTTTTTTTTTT